CTTCGAATTAACCAAATACGGCGATAAATTAGCGTTTTTAACTATTTTGTTTCCCGAACTTGAAATTAAAACTTTTCTAATAACCTTTTTGATTTAGATAAGTTATTACACGTTAAGAATGAGCAAATTATTTTTCTAGCAAAAAAAGAAACGCATTTCATTATTTGATGAAAAATATCATATTTAATTTTTAAATTAGAACCAAAAATCAGCCAAAAGCTGATTTACTACTTACTCGAACAAGAATAATAGAAAATTCCCCGACTTGGGGAATTTTTTATTATTGTTTATTAACATTTTATCCTTAATAATATAGTTAAATTAATTGCTTACAAGAAAGTGAGGAAACAACATGAATAAGATTTCTTGTGGGGAGCTTCTAGTTCCTCTTTTCAAGCAGAAGGAATGTGGCAAAAAGCTGGTCAAGGAGCGTCTGTAATTGAGCTTGATCAAGCAAACAACATTGAATCTTTCAAAAAAGGCGTTGATTTTTACCATCGCTTTCCAGAAGACATTGAATATATGAAAAAAGCCGGTTTAAAGGCCTTTAGATTTTCAATTTCATGGCCAAGAATTTTTCCGGAAGGCTCTGGTCAACCTAACATAGAAGGAATCAACTATTACCAAAAATAATTAAACAGTTACGCGAAGCAAAAATAGAACCAATAGTTACGATTTATCATTTTGATTATCCTCTTGCCCTAGTAAAAAGATATGGCGGCTGGATATCGAAAAAAAGTATAGGTGATTACTTATCATATTGTCGCTATTTATTTGAACAATTAGGAAATCAAGTCAAATATTGGATAACCATTAATGAGCAAGATCACGTTATAAAAATTCCAACAAGATTAGGGATTAAATCAGATTCTTTTGCTAAGCATATGCAAGAATGCTACCAAGCTAATCACAACATGTCAGTTGCCTCAGCATTAGCCATAAAATTGTGTCATGAAATGATTCCAGATGCAAAAATTGGACCAGCTCTTTCTTACCAACCATATTATCCTGCAAGCAACCAATTATCAGATAAAAAGGCAGCTCAGTATGCTGATCTTTTAACTCAAAAATATTTGTTGGATTTACAATGCAAAGGCTTTTATTCACAAGAGTTTAAAAACTATTTGCAATGGAAAAATGTTAATCTAGATATTAAAGCAAATGAGTTAGATGAAATTAAGCAAAACCACCCGGATTTTATTGGAATTAATTATTATTCAAGCAATATAGTTCAATATTTGCCACCCGAGAATAAATACGGTCAAATTGAAGGTCATCCTGTACCCAAAAAAAGAGTTTGGGCTCTATGAGATCAAAAATGATCCTAGGTTAGATACAACCAAATGGGGCTGGAGTATTGATCCAAAAGGATTAAAAATCGCTTTAAAAAATATTTATTCTCAATACCATTTGCCGCTTTTGATTACTGAAAA